TTCTTCTTCAAATTGGAAATCATCTATAGACCAAAATAGCTTGGTTTCGTCTATTAGTAGTGCTGTTTCCTTATAATTGACGAATACAACGGTTATTTTAATTATTGCCTTAAAAGAAAAAAAATTATTACACAGGCCAAGAGATGATACAAGATATAAGGGACTGATCGTTGCAATATAGACGCATTCCTGCAATATAGACGCAGTTCCTGCATCTCTCTCTAATGGGCCGGGTTTATCGACCACCTGACCTAACTGACCAATGAGAAGGTCACGTGTTCGATCAGCTTGTTCCATTAGGCGGAGATGCAAGGACTGCTTTTCGTCCGTTTTCTCTGTCGCAATGGGGGAACCTGACTGTCTAATAGAGGTTTTGGTTATCGAGGTCTATTAAATTCAAAAAGCTTGTCAGATACCTGGCTGGGCAAGTGTCCCCAACAGGGTACTTACTTACTTGATTTCTCTGTATTGTAAGTACTTTGACAGAGGTGTAATAAATAATGAACTTTATCAAATACCAAATAAAATCGATGAAATGAAGACATCAGATCCTCGCTCCTGTTGGCAGAATTTGTCCATTGCCTAGTGTTGTGTAAATGTATTATTTAATGTCTATGACATTCATAAAAGTGCTGGATAGCCCATAATTTTGACAAAATGCCTCTAACGTCCACTACTGAGCATAGGCCTCTCGCATGCTTTTCCAGTTAGTCCGATTTTGCGCCATCTGAATCCAATTTGTAGTCACTCTTTTTATGTCATCTGTCCATCTCGTTGGGGTCGACCTCTATTTCTGTTAGCTTGTATTCGGGATCTTCATTCCAAATTTCTTTTTGTCCACCATTCATCAACTGATTTTGCTACATGAACTGCCCAGTTCCACTTTAGTGTTGTTATCCTTTCAATAACGTCTGCTACTTCTGATCTTTTGCGTATAGTAGCATTGGGTATTCTATCAGGTAGAGAAATCCCTAACAATATTTTCTTCATTGCCCTTTCATTACTTACTTTTCGATTACTTTTCTTTTCAGACACATTGAAATTTTAGATCTAAAAATATCCTTTATCTTTATAAATGCAGCCCAAGCGAGGTTTATTCCTGGAGATTTAGTACGATCTTTGCTCTTACCATTCTATGATCATTTCCAACTGAACAGCTATTAAGAACTGTTAATAGATACTAGATACTAGAACAACTTAAAGTAAAGGATAGATTGCTGAAACAAATACAACAGAGATATTTGCAGTATTTTAGACACATTAATTGAAGGACAGGTACGATGGAAAAACTGATAGTTAAGGGTAGAGTTGAAGGAAAGAGACCTAGGGGAAGATCTCCAAGCCGTTGGATAGATCAAACAAGAATAGTGATTGACCAAGGGGGACATGAAGCCGAACAACTAGTCCAGAACAGGGAAGGATGGAGGCAAATCGTGAGAAAACTGTAAAGACCTGCTAGTGTCACCACATTTCAAAAGGGATTAGGACTGAGGAGGAGGATTCCAGATTATTCTATTTGATAAGAAGATATTATCGTACTGAAAACTTAAAACCTCTCGTTTTATTAAACACTCGACAATATTGTTAATAAAAAAAACTTACATGAACCAATATAAATATAGATTCCAGACGAGTTAACACCATTTTAAAAGGAGTATCCTTTTCATAAATAAAAGGTATCAGGCAAACGTACAAAGAAGTGCATAATACAGATAGGCTGATAGCATATATTACTTTTTGCCATAATGTATGATGTGTCAAGGGATTCCCACCTATGAGACTGAGTGTTCTAAGACACAATCTTATATTATAAAACATTTTAAACTAAATAAAAACGTATTTACTGTTTTAAGCTTATATAGCAAATAAAGTTTAGAATGTATGTAGAGAAATAGCAGCTGGCTGATAAATAATTCTCTTATAATTAAATCTGCATATAATAGAAAAAGTTAATTAGATAAAAAATAAACAGAGGTGGCTTTCAGAATTTTGTAATTCTCTTTCTTGGTGAATCTCTATTTTAAAAGGGGATACATCATTTTAAATGGCGTTTACTTTTCACTTTAATGATAGTCTAATTTAAAGATGTTTTTAAATTTCGCATGCATATTTATCTAAAATCAAAAAGAGAAAAGAAGCAAGAATGGATGACAGATAAAATATTGCAGATGAAGGAAGAGCCAAGAAAATTAAAAGATAGAATTGACAACGAAACAAAAAGTTGCATAAGACTATACTAAAGAAGATAAAAGAAGCAAAAGAAGCATGGCTGACGGAAAAATGTATGGAAGTTGAAACGCTACAATGCAAACATGACGATTTTTATATGCACAAAAGAATTAAAGAGGTACAGAATACCAGAAAACAACACAAAACAGGCATAGTTGTAGTCATTAAAGGCCAAATTTTGACTACCATTGAAGATAAATTACGTAGATGGAAAGAATATATGCAAGAATTATTCGAATATGCAGCACGAAGTCCGACTGAAATAAATAATCCCTACGGCTCAGAAATAACAAAAGAAAAAGTACCTATGGCCATTAAGCAGATTAAAGATGGGAAATGACCAGGACCTGATGAGGTGCATGGTGAAATCTTAAAGCTATTAGAGCCACACCAAATTGCAGCTCTTACGAAGCTATTCAACAACATCAACGAGACTGGTTACTTACCAAAAGACTGCCTACTATCAATATTCATTCCACTTCCTAAAAAAGCCAACGCTAGAAAGTGTACAAAAGAACATAGATTAATTAGTTTGATGAGTCATGTACTTAAAGTACTTTTAACAATCATTCACTCGCGCATATACACCAAATTAGAAGAATACCTGAGTGAAGTTCAATTTGGATTCAGAGCAGGACTTGAAATGGGGGAAGCACGAGGAAACGAGGTTTTAGTGACCTAAAACAGAGGGTAATTTGCCAGCATAATTTTGCAGTGAAACATTTTTAGAGCACTTTTATATAAATATGTACGTTTCGTCAGAAAATCCTTCTCGACTTTTAAGAATAAAATGTTTCGATATTGTCAATAATGAAAGTACTTCTTGAGAACAAGAAATAATAAATATTCTTTTTTCCTAAAATTTTAACTTTACAATCTTAGTTTGAAAAGAATTAACATTCAAATATACTTATTTACTTTGTTCTAAAATATGACCTAATTAGTGATGTTTTAAATTTTATAATCTTGTCCGTTTATTAGCTTTTATCTATTGTTCCTAGGCAGATGGCCCTCATCTATTTATGTATTGGAAATTACCTCTCATTTTATCAAGATATGTACTTACTTTATTCATTTTTAACGTTGGTAATTTGTGGTATTTTGTTCCGAAAGGTCAAAATCGATTGCATTTGGTACTCACCACTACTTGCTTTTAAAACCTCGATGACGTAATTCCAGAAAGTCCTCAGAAAATTTTTAAATGTAAAAAGTATGCGATCGAACAGTAGATCATAGTGATTTTAGTTCACGTCTATACAATTTCTTATTTTGCGCAGAATATAATTGACTTCTATATTGCCATTTCTAGATAAATTGTCAATTTTTTGTAGTACAATGTTACTATTAAAACAAAATTTATATCCTATTCTTGTCGAAGTTCCTTCTCCTATCGAAGGTTGGCCATCACCACAGCTATCCGTACTTTATTGGCGGCTGCTCTGAAAAGATCTATTGAGCTGCAACTATACCACTCTCTTAAGTTTCTCAGCCAGGAAATTCTTTTTCTACCTATGGATCTTTTACCCTTAATTTTACATTGCATTTTAAGCCTTTCGCACCTTCGGTAATGTGACCTAAATATTCCAGCTTTCTTGTGTTGATGTTCTTTATCACCTTGCAATCCTTTTGTAACATTGTAACCTTAACACTTTTGCATTTGTAACTCGTTCCTAAATAGATCCAGTTATTTTCAAAATTCCTCTATAGCACCACATCTCAAATGCTTCCAACTTCTGTATATTGTCTACTTTTAGCGTATATCTTTCCATTCCCTGTATCAAAGTAGAGAACACGTAGCATCTTAATGCGCTTATCCTCAGCTCCAGAGGAAGTTCTCGATTTTGTTCTGAAGCTATTTTCTTGTGGCATTATTGCAATTAACTAGTTTTGATGGGAAATAAGCCACAATTTTACTAAAAAATGATTTTATTAACGTTTCGACGCCGAACTCGGGTGTCGTTGTCAAAATACAAAAATTTTATTAATGAATTAAACAAAAATGATGTTGCTGGGTAAAAAAAATTCTTATGATAATTTATTTAATCTGACTCATTTATATCGGCAATTCAGACATATATTATACATTTTAAAGTAGATAATGAAATATTGGCAATGATATTGCCAATATTTATAAGTGGCGTTCCTGGGACGACTGTGTTGAAAGATAGTTAATTCAATTAAATGAAATCTACCCCAACTCAAGAATATCTGTCACAAAAAAATCATAACATGTAATATGTCTTTAAATAGACAACCACATGCAATGGTGACAGTAAAATTCTCGCGCTAGAATATAAATATAGTCCCAGGAACGCAACTCATAAATATTGGCAATAGCATTTTAAAGTCTTCTACTTTAAAATGTATAATGGTAGTGGTTTATAATCAATACCTAAAGCCAATGTAAAAAAAAGAAAAATAGTTGAACTAGATAAGAGTATGCGATACCAAAGGTAACTTTCCGCTGAATCCACTGAATTCCACCAAAGACAGCTATGTTATGTTACGTAGGTTGTTAAAATAAAACAAAAAATTAATTAATTATAATATAATTTTTAATGTATATACTCTTAGAATATACATTAATAAAGTTAATATATATTATTTTATAAAGTAATCTTTTGAGTTGCTTATTTCTCTTGTTGTCCTATGTTCATTGTCTTCAAAAACATGTAGTAGGAAAATACAAGTTTGTAGGACTAAAATTAAACAACAAATTAGATACAAAGTCAGATTATTTCAACTAAAATTCGGTTGAAATTTTCACTTACCTTCAAAGCATTTTCAAAAGTAAAATCAAATAACTTTGCTGCTGTTAGATTGACCGATTTTCTACTAATGTTTGATATCATATTTACCATGGGTTTCTTAAGATTTGTCGAATTTTCATACCATATAGAAGAAAACGCAGAATTCTCTGTATTCTCAGCCTAGAATTAAATTTTCAAGAACACTAAGATCCTTATTTTAAACACTCACCTCATCAGATAAAAGTTGTCCTGGTATCACGTAAAACAATAAATACTCATTTGTTAATCCCATAAGTAGCGTAATATGGATGAGAAAATCGTCTCCAGGGGGACTAAAATAAAAAATCTATAATCTATTTACTATCGGATTTTTAATATCAGTGTCTTATTTCTGTTCTATTTAAGGCATGATCATCTACCAAGTTTTTGCTATCTTGTTTCTTGCAAGTTCTTCTGAGAGTATCCATTACAATATGACCAACTTTCCTCTGGCTTTTCTTAACAGGTTCAAACCAAGGAAATTTTATTCTTTCAATCTCTTCTTATACATTTCTGCACATATTCATTTAATTTCTTATAGACTACTATTGAATTGTCTATAATTTTGATTTTCGACAACTACTTTTCATATATAAGATGTTTTCAGAGTATATGTTAGATATTGCCGGTGGCAATATGCAACCTTGTCTAACTCCTTTTTCGACTGTGAAGATCTCGGACAATTCATTTTCTAATCGGACTATTGCTTTTTGTTCGAGTTATAAGTTTGAGATCAGTCTTATATCCTTACCATCTAGTCCTGATGTTTTTAGAATATCGATTAGTTTCCCATGTGGGACTTTATCAAATGCCTTTTTGAAATCAATGAAACATGCATGCACATCGCAGTTGACATCACTGGCTCTCTGTATTAGAACTAGCAAACTATAAAGTGCTTCTCTCGTTCCGAGTCCTGCTCTGGATCCAAATTGAACTTCTCGGATGTTCTAATTTGATGTATACGCGCGAGTGAATGATAGTAAAAAGTACTTTAAATACATAGCTCATCAAACTAATTCATCTATGTTCTTCGCATTTTCTGGCTTTGGTTTTTTTTAGGAAGTGGAATGAATATTGATAGTAGCCAGATTTTTGGTAAGTAACCAGTCTCGTAGATGTTCTTGAATAGCTTCATAAGAGCTGTGATTTCTTGTGACTCTAATAGCTTTAAAATTACACGCACCTCATCAGGTCCTGGTGATTTTCCATCTTTAATCCGCTTAATGGCCATAGGTACTTCTTTGTTTATTTCTGGGCCGTAGGGATTGTTTATTTCAGTCGGACTTCGTGCTGCATCTTCGAATAATTCTTGCATATATTCTTTCAATGGCAGTTAAAAATTGGCCTTAAATATCTACAAATATACCTATATTGCGTTGTTTTCTGGTATTTTGTACCTCTTTAATTTTTTTGTGCATATAGAAACCAACGAACATCAGAGCATATGGAATAGAGTTAGAAAGAGTCTACAATATTACCTACTTGTGTGCAAACGTTAACGATAACTGGGATATAAATAAAGAAATAAGAATACGCATTGAAAAAGCCAGAGCCGCCTTCTATAAATTAAAGAAAATTCTAATTAATAGAGATATTACGTTAAATCTTAAAATCAGAATAATACGCTGCTACATATTCTCCACAGTGCTGTATGATATGGAGAGCTGGACCCTTACAGAGACATTAATGAAAAAAATTAGAGGCCTTTGAAATGTGGATTTATCGACGAGTATTGCGGATAAGTTGGGTTGATCGAATAAGAAATGAAATAGTTTTACATCGAATGAAAAAGAGCACAGAAATAAGAAAAACGATAAAAATTCGGAAGTTACAATATTTCGGTCATGTAATGAGACATCCAGAGAGGTATAACCTTCTACACCTCATAATACAGGGTAAGATCGAGGGAAGGAGAGGCCCAGGACGACGAAGAACATCCTGGCTACGAAATCTCCGAGAATGGTATCAAGAAACCACCTTTAAATTATTTAGAGCCGCCGTGAATAAGGTTATTATTGCCAATATGATCAACAACGTTCGATAATCAGACAGGGCACTGAAAGAAGAAGAAGATATGGAAATCGTCATGTTTGCGTTGTCGTGTTTCAACTTCCATACATTTTTTCATCAGCCATGCTTATTTTGCTTCTTTTATCTCCTTTAGTATAGTCTTATGCAATTTTTTGTATTCGTTGTCATTTCTAGGGTCATTGTGCCTAATACAACAGTGTAGTAATTTTCTTTATAATTTCACGTGTCGTGAGTTATGGATTTAAAAAGACTGGACTGTTTCCTTTAAATAAACTAGCGTTCAATGAAAAAGACTTCTCCATTCATTCTCACAGGCTTGTCTCCATAAATAGCCCATCAACACCAGTGTCCAATTCTGAAATAGGCCTAGACACTGATGGTACCAACATGGATGGAGGTCAAATGAGGGCTGTCCCAGCATTAGTTTCACCTGAAGAAATTAACCCCTTACCAAGTTTGGAGGTTATTGATCCGTCAAAACCAAGTAGGGCCCGTAAAGCTGGCATAATCACATCCACACCTTACAAAAATCAATTAGCTGAAATCATTGAAAAGAGAACTGTAAGTAGACCGACTGTGAAAAAATCTTTTTTCACTAGTAAGAAAAATAAAAATAAAGGTCCCTCTAACACCGAAGAAAATGAAGAAGAAACCGAATCCAGGAAAGTTGTTAAGCGAGGAGGAACTCTCAAGGGTAAAGGAAAAAGGGTTATAACAGGAAAAGGAAAGCTACAATCTGAAGAACCTAATGCAAAACGAAGAAAACTGTCTTTCAACACCAAAAATGACAGTAGTTCATCTTGTGAAGATGACAATATTTCCTTACATGACAGCAGTGATGATCCTGATGAAAATGATGCAGAATGCTTGTTGTGTGGATGTTTTTACTCCCAAGACAAAAGAGGAGAGCAGTGGCGCCAGTGTCGTAGTTGTTGCAGATGGGCACATGAAGAATGTGGGGCTGATGAATTGTTTCTTTGTAAACAATGTGACACATTTAAATAATTGTAGTCATGTTTTGACTAAGCTGTAGTTAATGCCAATTAATTTTACAAAAGAGTCTCATAATAGAACTACTTTTTTCAATGTCCAAAAATGTGATACTTACATATGTATTTTTTTTAAATAGGTTTAAACATGTTTTTCGACAAGTAAGTCTTTGTTTCATTATCCTAAATATATATTGTACTAGTACCTGATTATGTTATATTTATTTCCTATTTTGATTAATAATTATATATAAAAATAAAAAGGGATCTCATATTCGGCACAATGACCCTACCTTTTAATTTTTTTCGCTCTTCCATCATCGGAAATATTTTATCTGTCATCACTTCTTGCTTCTTTTCTCTTTTTGATTTTAGATATTTATGCAAAATTGTAGTAATAGATGTCTTCATTTCGTTCCACTGTTCTTCTATTAATTACTTTTTAGCTGGGAATAAGCCACAATATCGGTAAAGATACGTTTATTGTCGTTTCAATTTCCACTTCGGAAATCGTTCTCAAAATACAAAACAAAAAGTTTTGTATTTTATTTGTTTTATTTTGTATTTTGTATATATAACAGAGTTTTTTATTTGTTCTTCAGTGGATTCTGATGTCGGTGCATAGATCTGAATGACAATTATATTAGAGAGACATGAGTTAATTTTCAATAGCAAAACTCTGTCTGATATGGGCGTGAATCCTATAACTGCTTAGCTATTTCCCTTTATCGCTATGCCATTTCTGTTTCTTGTTGTGTCGTCTCCAGAATAATAGATATGGTGTTCATCTATAATTCTTATTCCAGAATTTGGTCATCGAACTTCACTACATCCTAAAATATCTATGTTCAGGCAAATCATTTCTTGAATAGTATTTGCTGCTTTGCTTGCTTGGTACATGCTTCGAATGTTCCACGTATCGATCCTTTTAACTTTTTTGATATTATTAGCTGACCAGGAGATTCTTAGCACCCTCTTCCCACTTAGAGGGTGCCCGGGACTGAGGGCCATTTGTTTTGGATTTTCAGCCAATGTGGTATCCTAGGGATATCCTTACAGATCTTTAATGTAGTATTCATCCCGTGTATTCATCCCATTCAAAAGTTCATTTGATGTACATCTGACCACTTTCTCAGGTTGCGCAGCCATGACATTCTACGCCTCCCTATGCTTCCCACATCTCAATGCTGTTGGCTAATTTAGCTCTTCTGCCTTTGCAGTAAATTTCTCAGCTCCAGGGCAATGAAGTGCCCTACCACATGTCAGTTCTTTCAGTCATAGCTGTTGCGGGATTACTTTTACCGGTAATCGTTCGATAACTTCGCAGTATAACGACCGGTTAAATCATATCTCAGTTGATCCGCGGGTGTTGATTTGGCAAAGCCTTATTCACACCTGTCCCACATATTTGTAGGGCGTTCTCTATCAGCCATTGGGACGCGCCGTGTTGAGGTTGAGAACTACCCCCCTCCAAGTATGTTTTTCAAAAAGTACTGAAAGGCCCCTACTCAATTCAGAACCCCTCCTTCTTGGAAACTATACCGGCAAGGAAAGTTTACTAGCCAAATAGTACCAGTCCTGGTTCAATTTCACTGGATCTTAAGATTTAAGCAGTTTTCTTATTTTTACAGCTCTTTCTACTTGTTTCGGGCTTATATTCATCTATTCACTTGTTAATTGAGTGTTCTGTTCATTCTCTAGAAAATTTTCCCGTGTTTCTCTTAACAATTCAGTCAAGTGTTTTATTATCCTCTGTTTTTCATATATACTACTTAAAGGCACTTCGTTTTTATCATTTTTCCTTATGGTTTTTAGGGTCTTCCAGGATTTAGAGCTATTATTACTATATAGTTACATTTATTTTCCCAGGCACACTTCTTCTTCTTGGAACTTGTTGTTTAACTTTTTTATTCATTTGGTTGTACTACTTTACTAGTGTTTATAACCCGACAAGCGAGAGCTGGCGGGTTGCGCGTAGAACAAATTGAAAAGTGGAAGGGATTGCTCATTTCTATTGCAGTCGGCTAGGAGTTCACATCGTGTATAACCGTTTAAGTACCTATACTATATACCTATAATCGCGATTAAGTACCTCTCCTATCTCTCTTAGAATAATTCCTTTTCTATTTTCTCGCAGCTCACCCGCCAGCTCTCGCTTGTCGGATTATACTGCTGTATAAACGTGATTGTTGAATGTATAAAATATGAGATTTTGGTACTTACAACGTCAAAAGGATAAACAATTCTAGGCAATATGTAATCACACTCATTGCAATAAAGAACAAGTTTGAAAAAAACATAGTGCCATTGATTCTATCCACGTAACTGAAAAAAAGGTAAACTTAAATTTTCAAATCAACTTAAAAAGGCCCTATGTCGCAAATCTATTTGTAATAGTCAACAATATTCGTTCCCTGAGCAGAGCAGGTTTAAATTAAAAACTGCATGGAAAATAGCTAAAAACAGACATTAAATGAGAAGTAAAAAAATTAAAGGATTTATCAATCAAAGAATCGATTCGAAACGATTGTAAAAATTTAAAAGTCATAATAGCCCAGGCTGTGGGGGAAAAAGAATGATTTTACACTGTAATCCAGGAATTTATGTAATGTTGCATAGATTATAAAGGGCAATCTCAGGAGCGATCCCCCAGTTCATTCAACAAAAAATTTTTGGTTATTGTTTATTTATGAGAGTTTATAGATATAAAATACGTTGATTATTTGGGGTGCAAACAGCCTGGGCTATAAATTTATCTAATTAATAACAATATTGGATTATCGGTTTAAATTTTTATGGCGATTCTTAAAAAACTTCTCATTTTAAAATCATCATCATCATCATCCAGCCTCAAGAGTCCACTGCTCAACATAAGCCTCTTCCTCATGTTTCCAACCCCGTCTATCTTGCGCCGCTCTTATCCAGTTTTTATTAGGTCTTCTTAAATCGTCAGTCCATCGTGTAGGTGGTCGACCGACGCTTCTCTTGTCTTCCCTTGGCCTCCATTCCAATAACCTCTTTGTTCATCGCTCATCTGTCATTCTGGCTATGTGTCCTGCTCATCTCCATTTTAGTCTGGCTATCTTCTCGATGATGTCAGTCACTCCGGTTCTTCTCCTGATGTCTTCGTTGGTTATTCTGTCTCTCAGAGTTATTCCTAACATGGACCGCTAAATTCTTCTCTGCGTGACTTTCAGTTTGGTAGCTGCTGCTTTTGCTGAGGTAAGTGTTTCTGCTCCGTACGTCAAGACTGGGAGGACGCATTGATCAAATACCTTTCTTTAGGCATGTGGGCAGCTCACTTTAAAAGTTTCTCTCAGTTTTCCAAATGCTGCCCACCCAAGGCCGATTCTTATCTTCAGTTCATGAGTCTGGTTATCCCTGCCAGTCATAATTTCATGTCCAAGATATTTATATCTATCTACGAGTTCTATTTCTTTCCCACCAATACTGATGTTCTGGTTGGGCACCAAATTGGTCATGATTTTTGTTTTCGAGATATTTATATGTAAACCTACATTTTCTGTAGCCACAACGAGTTCCTATACCATCTCTCTTGCCATACCTAGATCTTCAGCTATTATAAGTATATCATCGGCGAAACGTAAGTTGTTTAGATATTCTCCATCTAATCTTATTCCCTTTGTCATCCAATCCAAATTCTTAAAAGCATTTTTTAAATGTCGGTCAGATAGCTCAGCGGGCTGTGCGGCTGCCTCTCATTCGCTTCACTGTCGAATGGTTCAGTGGATGTGGGTCGAGCCCCAGCTCGGTGTACGGAAAACAAAAAGTCTAACGCAGCAGTTTAAAATTCTAGATGAATCTGCGGCTTAGACTAGGATATGCTGGGATCTGATCGGCCTATGGTGGAGCAGTACGGCAAGAGATAAGGGCTTGCGGCTCGGTGATACTCCTCCATAGATCCCTACCGGACGGGCGTAACGCCTAAAAAACTTTAGGCGTTTTAAAATAATTTCACATAAATACAATTATTATTTTTAAACATTTTATTTAGTTTATATAATGACTAAATTTATATCTAATCTGAATTTGACAGGTCTCTCAGAAGTAAACAACGTATGCTAGGTTAATACGTTAGTAAGTGGGGTTAGGATCAAACATAATAATGTACTGAAATATTTTAATACAATATAATTTGTTTTAAAATATAAATAATTAAATAAACAATAAGTCTCTCTGTTTATTTTGGAAAATATTATTTAAATTTTTTAATATTTATAAAATATTTTATATAAATTTATAAAAATTTTAAATACAACGAAGTATGAAGCTTCGGGTTAATCTACTGTATTGACTACTGTATCACCTTTTTTTTACAATATAATGAAGATCTGTCACTATTGGAAATCGTTTTGCGACATACGCACTGTTTTGAGCAACTCAAACAAAAATATTACTTACTCAATTAAAAATATGTGATAGTCTATACATTTTTTGATCTCCCTTTGCAACAATTTCTGATCTTCTGCCGTCTCTACGTTACTGCTTAATACTCTTGTGATGTCAAGGTTCAGAAACTTCCATTGAATCACGATCATCATAAGTAATGTTCCAAATAATATATCGAAAAATATGATGCTAGTGTAAACAATTAAAAATGAATAGCCTTGTAAAATGTACAAAAAAATGTATGGAGGAAAATCTGGAACGAAATTAGTAAGAGGTAGTACTCTCTTCTGGAACACAATGGGTCCAAAAAGAACAAAAAATGCCGTGACAGATCCTACGGCAGGGTACCATATTGCGAAAAATTTTAGTATTTTAAGCGTAAATTGTGCTTGTGATCTTTCTTCTTCAAATTTAAAATCATCTATAGACCAGAATAGTTTGGTTTCATTTATTAGAACAGCAGTTTCTTTGTAATTTATGAATACAACCGTTACCTTAATTATTGCCTAAAAGGAAAAAGATGATTACACATGTCAGTCATCAAAACTTTTATACCATTAGGATTGTGGTGTTGAATGGGTTGGTGTCGAGATCAACTGACTTAATTAAACTCATAATAAAAGGTATTTTTATTTACTATATTATTTTATATATTTATTATACCGAGATATCGAAGAAGCACTGAGAATAACGAAAACAAGAAAAATTACGATAATCCTAGTGGATTCCAATGCAAAGATTGGAAAGGGACAAAGCAGAAAGTGTATAAAAAACTATGGTTTGGGAAATCCAAATTAGAAAGAAAACTGTCTGTTTCAATTCGGTCAAGAGCAAAACTTGATTATTACAAACACATCTTATTCACTTATCACCAAGGTTACACTCGCCCTTAAAACATCAAAGAATCCCTACAATAGACACACGAAAACTTAAAGAATCTAAAGTAAAAGAATGCTTCCAACATGAACTGCATTTGAAGTGCAGCAAATTGAACACAAACACCAATGATATTGACGAATACTCGGATCGACTAAAACATTGTCTACTGGAACCCTGTAAAGAAATACTAATTACTTCAGCAAGGAGAAAAGAAGAAAACACTAAAAACTTTGTTTTCAAACTTCCACAGAATTTATTTTAACTATTATCACTACAGCTGTTTCGGCTGATAGCCTTTCTCAAGTGATCTATTTTTGGCTTGGGTTTACAAATTTATAGTCTCTAATGAAATAGGTTGAGGAGGGGAGAACTGTTTGTCTCAAGTTGGTCATTCAGAATTGTATCTGTGTTTTTTAATTTGTTGTTTTCCATAGATTCTAACAAAGATAGCTTAAGGCCTTTATTTTGAATGCGAAGAATTTTAAATTTATCATTAAAAGAATGATTATGATCTAGAAGGTGAAGTGCGTATGTCGAATCTGTTTTTCTATTCTTGAAAGCCCTTTTATGTTCTGCTATTCCACCAATCTAAAAAATCCACCAATATAAAAACTGTTTGATTACGGGATGTTTTGAAATCTTTGTCTCTAGATGACCCATAAAAATATCTGATCGCAATGGGCTTAGAGGATTACCCATTATAAGTCCTGCACTGTTATTTGTATATATTTTATTATTAAATTCAAAGTAGCCCTGGTTTATGCAAACTTCAAGAAGATGTAATATTTCAGATGTAATTACTGGATTTGTACTATTTTGGTCTAAAAGGTTTTTTACTAGAATAAAAGTTTCTGTAGGAGGGATACTAGGAAAAAGATTTTTTACGTCAAATGATATTGGTAGAGATACGTAGACGATGTACTGGTATGTTTCACAGGAACTAACAGGCAACTCGACCAATTTTCATCGTATATTAATTCACTTTATAGTCATATTGAATTTACAATAGAAACAGAACAAAATCAATGCATAAATTTTTTAGATTTAAAAATTAGCAGACTTCAAAACAAACATGACTTCTCCATATTTCACAAACCTACCCATACTGACACGACTATACACAATTCATCATCCAATCCAACACAACATAAACTGGCAGCTTATCATAGTATGTTACATAGATTAACAGAAATTCCGATGTCAAAAGACAACTTTGAGACAGAATTAAATATAATTAAGCAAATAGCAGTAAACAACGGATACAACGAACAAACAATTAATAAAATGTTAAATCAAAAACTACACAAGAAAGCCCTGAAATTAGTATTTCCACCACCAGAGAAAAAACCCAGTACCTCTGCTCGATTACATAGACAGGCAAAATAACAACAAAAATTGCCAAACACATAAAAAGGAAAGGAATAACACCAGCTTACCGAACAAATAACAACCTAGGTAAATATATTAAAAATAACAAGAGCCAAAATAAAAAACACTTAAATAGTGGTGTGTATAAAATTCAATGTGGTGACTGCCCAAAAACTTACATCGGTCAAACTGGTAGAAACTTTGATGAGAAACGAATAGCAGAACATAAAAGGGCTTTCAAGAATAGAAAAACAGATTTGACATACGCACTTCACCTTCTAGATCATAATCATTCTTTTAATGACAAATTTAAAATTCTTCGCATTCAAAATAAAGGCCTTAAGTTATCTTTGTTAGAATCTATGGAAATCAACAAATTAAAAAACACAGATATAATTCTGAATGACCAACTTGAGACAAACAGTTCTCCCCTCCTCAACCTATTTCATTAGAAACTATAAATTTGTAAACCCAAGCCAAAAATAGATCACTTGAGAAAGGCTATCAGCCGAAACAGCTGTAGTGATAATAGTTAAAATAAATTCTGTGGAAGTTTGAAAACAAAGTTTTCAGTGTTTTATTGTTACATAAAATGAATTTCCATCAAGTAACGGTCGAATCCATCAATTAGAAAAGAAGAATGTCTGAATGACGAGATACTCACTATGATGGAACAACGGAGATAATTTAAAAACAAAGAAAACAATAAATACAGAGAGATAAACTACGAGATCAGAAAGATGATGAAGCAGGCAAAGGAAAAATACTTTGAAGAGAAATGCAAAGAGATCGAAGAACTTTTAAATAAATATAATCTCTAATGGAATCTTGGACCTTAAAGGCGACATCAATGAAAAAACTGGAATCATTCGGGCTGTGGGTGTATAGAAGAATTCTGTAAATATCGTAGACAGAACACGTCACAAACAAAGAGAATACAACCGTACCCAACTCATTACATTTAAACTTCAATACACATAGTGTAATAGAAACTAGTGCTCATATTTCTTAAAATTTAATTCAAAATTTATGTTATAAAGATATTAAAGAAATCATTTCATATTAAAGACAAACAAATAACATAACAACAACAAATCCTAGAATTGCTCTCCTTGATTTAATTAACAGTATTCAAGACTTATAGTTTATTCGTCTTCCGGGTTTGGACCGTGTCATTTGTGAGTGACCCAAAAGTGGGTTCATCTCGACGTTTCGCTACAATTGTATGTAGCTTCTTCAGGAGAACAAAGAAAAAGAAAAAAGAAAAAGAAGACAGGAAGATGGGTAGTTAGCAACGGTAACTCAGTTACTCAACGCAACCAAAGGCGAATACTAACTACCAAGATGGGCATTTGGTCACACACACCGACATCTACATCCCCCTTTACACCCTAGGACGACAAATTCAGAATCTTCGGGTAATACTCCTGTGGCTTTACTTCCGTATATTTGAAGTGTCACTGATAGGATTGGCAAAATTCTTCGCAAAGAAGGTATCAGGACTACATTTCGACCACCCAAGAAAATCTCACAATATCTACCCTCTCCTAAGGACCCATTACCGCCCCTATCTTCCTCTGGTGTCTATTCTATTCCTTGTTCATGTGGACATGTGTATATTGGCGAAACTGGTCGTTCCGTCAAAACTCGGATTCAAGAGCATCAAAGATGCATTCGATCAGGTCTTTTCTCCCATTCTGCAGTTGGAGAACACTGCCAAGAAACCGGTCATTCCATATTGTTCGAAAAAACCCATATTATTTCTAAGAGCCCCTTCTTTTATTCCAGGAAAATCCGCGAATCTCTAGAGATCCGAAAAAATCCACATAATATCAATCGAGAGGAAGGATACTACTTGTCTCCCATCTGGAATCTCAGTCTAGAGCCGCCGTCCGGTCCCGCTACCACGATGCAGCCACATGATTGGCCAGCGCGCGCTTCTTGACGTTCGCGCCACGGAGTGTGCCGATACGTCCCGACACGACAGGTCACCGCGACTATAAATAGAGCGGTAGCGGAGTAATCGTCATATTCACTCCCCGCCTCTCGACGCGTTAGTGTTCTGAGCTGTTGGACGTGAATCCCTGTCCTGGAATTAGGTTTTCACCTCTGGCTGCGTTGGGTAGTTGAGTTACTGTGACCAAATGCCCATCTTGGTAGTTAGTATTCGCCTCTGGTTGCGTTGAGTAACTGAGTTACCGTTGCTAACTACCCATCTTCCTGTCTTCTTTTTCTTTTTCTTTGTTCTCCTGAAGAAGCTACATACAATTGTAGCAAAACGTCCAGATGAACCCACTTTTGGGTCACTCACAAATGACACGGTCCAAACCCGGAAGACGAATAAACTATAATTCTGACTCTGGCCGTGGAAGTCTACGATTTCACTATTCAAGACATCCAATGACTTCTTGGGTAATATTTGACAATATCACTATTGTAATTTGTTTCATTTCAGTATGAATTTTCTGCTTGAGGTCTACCAAATTGGTATTTCGGTTTACTATAAATAACCCCAAATAGAAAAGTACATGGGATTCAAATCTGGCAACCTATCAGGCCATTACATCATATTGTGGACTTGCTCTACCCACCCTGATGAAACCAATTGGTTGTATTTGACCAGAATTATTGATATCTGGAAATGTTGTGGATAAAAATGGAACTATGTAGGTTTGGAACATCTCTAAATATCTTTCAGCTGTAGCAGTACCGTCAAAATATATGGCCCTACAATGGTATTCCTGACAATTCCAGTCCGTACATTCACTTTTTGGGGATATTGGGTAAAAACAGTTCACCGAGCAGATTTTGGAGGGCTAACGATCTGTATAGGGATCGGATGTTCCATGTCGCGATTCTTAAATCATGTACCTTTTTCTCGCGCAGTCGTCGTCGTTTGATCAGTTCGGTTTTCTTTCCTTGAACATTAGCAACATGTGTGTTTTCTAGGATAGGGTTGTTAGCCCTATGCCTAACCCCCTTTTCGGAGGACCATTTCTCCCTTCCTCGTCGGCCCTGACCCTACTTTGCACTGGGGTTGGTTACCCAATCTTTGGTAGGGTGGCTCAGGTTTGCCAGGGTCCACTCTTGTGATTAAGTCACACTTCTTGAAGGTGAGGATAGGAATTGAGTAAGAGTGGCTGAAGGTGTATTCACCAAGGAAGCAACACCTTATATTGCGCATCACTACTCCTTGAAACCCTTAAAGATGATCGGTTTATGGTCTCTTTAAAATTCCCCTAAAAAGCCATCTTATCTC